CACCCATAGTGAAATCTTATTGGTCCCAAATCTTAAATAAAAAAAATAGAAAATATAATTAGTGCAAAATGTATTTAGGAGTACATGTGCGAATGACAAGTGTTAAGTCTTTTTATTCCCTTCAATTGGTCATTTACAGGCTCACAAACAATGAACACCACGCATTTATGACAAACGATTTTTTATGATCTCCCATTGATGAATTATGACTATAAATGTTTACTTTATGATTTTTAGACTGTAATGTGTTATAGACAGGTGTAAGAGTGCATATTTTATTTCCTTTATCCGATGAGCAGCTGGAATTAGTAAAGACATTTCAAAATAAGAGTCCTGCTGTAGTTTGGGCTTGTTTATAATTAAAAGTCCTGCATTATGCAGAACATTTTTTTTCTGGTTATTATTGGTACTTCGGTTAACTGTAAACTGTAATAAACCGTATCTGGCAATTAATTAAAATGTAAATAATTGCATAAAATATAAATAAATAATCCCATAATTATTAAATAGTGAAGCAGAAATTTTTAAAAACCTAGTGTACTTTTTGTATTAAAATAATTGTCTCCTCATATCCCTTTATTAAGGGAAACAAATGTATTTATTAATTTTCATTGTGCCCCAACAGTTCTTATATGCTCATAAATTTTTCAAATTAGGAGCACAAAGTAAGTATCAAGAGATTTTTTCACTTCATGTAGTATTTTGCTTTTAGTATAAACGTAAAAATTACTTGACAGTGAAAGCTTTGAGCTTTATTGTGTGCAGTGCACATGAATTCGGTGTGTATTTAACATCTGAAAAACAGAGACCGCGGTGAGACTTTACCAGGCTCTCCAATCTCTTGGCAACGATCGAGGCGAAGCGTCTCTCTCCAGCCAGTTCAGAGATGAGGAAGATATACTCTGGAGCTGTAACCTGATTTGAGCGATGCGTTCGACCTAAGATACACAGCCACAATATTAGCAACCTCCACGACGCCTCTCAAACACACATGCAAACACACACAGACACTCACCGAACTGCTGGATGGCGCGGTCTGCGCTCCACGGCAGCTCTAAAGTCATGTGAACTCTTCTCCTGCGGTTCTGCACGCGTTTATCCGCCTGTAGAGAGATGCCCGAACTGGCTGCTTCAGAGATGATGGCTATCAGCTAAAAGAGAGAAAGATAAAGAGCATTAGTCCAAACATTCAGAACGGCGCTGAGTTCGATCTGGACGTGGTGTTCTGTGTAGGGCTGCACGATAATGGTTAAACTGATAATCACGATTATTTTTATTCAAATTATAATCACGATCATTAATAATGATTATTCTACATATACACTGACTTCATTTAACCAACTATGATAATACAAAACTCATGCTTTTGGTTAGTGCTGTTTTGTAATTTGTATTCACATTAGATTTTCTAAGTGACAATTTGTTTGCAAATGAGTCAAACCACTCAGAAATTTGCTCAAAGATCGTTAATACACACTGAAAACTAACATTGCTGATTAACATTATGAAAACTGGTAAAAACTTGTTGGTAGAAGCTCCCAATATTACTTCAGATAATTCCAATTTATGTACATTTTTCACAAACAGCACAAATGGCTTGTGAAAAACACACATTGGCTGTATGACACGGTCATGTAAGCAGAAATCGCTAAACTCCAGCACATGCATGTTTTCATATCATCAGCGCTTGTTCCGCCATCAGTCAGCGCGTGCACAGGGTTGCCAGATTGCACAGATTAAGTAAAACATCGGGCAGAATGTGCATCCTTAAAGGAGAAAAGCTCTGTTTTGGGGACTTAAAGGGATAGTTCTCCCAAAAATGAAAGTGTGATGTTTATCTGCTTACCCCCAGGGCATCCAAGATGTAGGTGACTTTGTTTCTTCAGTAGAACACAAACAAAGATTTTTAACACAAACCGTTGCAGTCTGCCAGTCATATAATGGAAGTTAATGGGAATCACGGCTTTAAGAGTAAAAAAAACATTCACAAACAAAACCAAATTAAACCCTGCGGCTCGTGATGATACATTGACGTGTAAAGACACGAAACGATCGGTCTGTGCAAGAAACTGAACAGTATTTATATAGTTTTTTTACCTCTGATTCACGCAATGTTAGAACTGTCCTGAGCGGCGGCGCTTCCTCCTGAGCACGTTCTCAACAGCCGGTGTGTGACGCGTCTTCTTCTTGCTTTACGGCGGGGTGGCGGATTTTTAGTG